TTTTCCTTCACACATCTAGACCTCTGGCCTGAGAAACTGGATAGATTTCGTTTTCTGAGAAAGGGCTGAGTTGGAGAAGACCAGATTTGGTGGATTAAAAGGAAGTCAGGGTGGATGACAGTGATTCTGTTTGGCCCATGTCAAGATGCCCATTACGTGTCCAAGTAGAGATGTTGAGTAATTGTTAGATATATGACTCTAGAACTTAGGAGAGGTCTGGGTAGAGATTAATAGGAGAGTGGGTTTGACCAAGGTTGAAATTTTTCTAGGTAAGTACGGTGGAGAGGAAGAAGGGCAAGAAAGTTAAAGATATTTTCAGTGGGAGTGTGTATGGTATAGGACAGGGAAATCTGAACAAGATAGAAGAGAAGTAAGGCTATGTGGCAATGGAAGATTGAGAAAAAGTGGTTAGGATCAATGGATCAGAGGACCCAATGAGTTTGGAGGAGTATTTGCATGGAAGTACTGGAGAAAGTAAGGAGTGATTGGGTGATGAGGAGGTGGCTGAGTCCGGGTAGAAGAAAAATTGTTGGAGTCAGGAAAGGAGAGGTCAGGTTGTTGAAAGTCTTTTCTACATTGATGTAGAAATAGTTCAGGAGCTGTGGTGAAAACGAATCTGGTGCTAAAGTTTTCAGTGAATGAGGCAGGATGATTGCACATAAAGGTTGACATAAGAGCCCTGAGATAGCTATCCTTAGAAAGGGCTGCTTGCAAGGTTGACCTTCCACCAACATCTGAGAACTTAGGTTTTAGGAGGGTTCCTACCATTTTCAGAAATTATGAAAGTGGCTTCCTGTACCTAAACTATATAAACAGTGTCGTTTATGCTGAACACCTGATTTTCTTCTGGGAATCTGGAATTTTTGTAGGTGCTGGGCAGAGAGTGCCTAGATGACCAGCCAAGATGACCAACACCTTGGGCACTGAGTCTCTAATGAGCTTCCCTGGTAAAAAACAAACAAACAAAAAACATTTCATATGTGTTGTCATAACTCATTTCTGGACAATTAAGTATGTACTGTGTGACTTTACCAGGAGAGGACTCTTGGAGACTTGTGCCTGGTTTCTTCTGGACGTCACCTCATGTACCTTTTTCTTTCGCTGATTTTGCTTTGTATTCTTTTGCTGTACTAAACCATAGCTGTGAGCACAACCATATGCAGAATCCTTCTAGTGAATCAAAAAACCAGATGGTTAAAGGGTTAAAGCCTGGTAATACTCCATAAACAAGAGAGGGGTTTTTGAAGGATGATTGAAAAATGGTTGAAAGTAATCATTTACCTCATCTTCAGACCCTGAGGTACATGGGTCATTGATGGGGGCAGGCAGACAACCCCTGCTGGGGGCCACCGTAAAGGAGCAGAATCCTCAGGAGACAGAGCAAGCAGGCAAGGGGAATGGCTAGAGAGGGTGAGGGTGTAGTGGGTTTACTGGTAGTGATTCGAGTTTCTGTAAAGCCACTGTTTGAGAGCTCTCTTGCTGTCAGTGATTGGGGATTGATAAGATTTGGAGTCATATCAGAGGGAGAGATTGCTGCGTTCCACTGGTATCAATAGTTGAGGAACCTGTAGGAATATGTGATGGGAGTGTCTGTGGGGCCAAGTGATTGGGGAGATCTGTTGCTGTTAGTGATTGGGAAGTTTGCTGGGATCAGTCATTTTGGAATTACGGATTTAGGGATTAGGGAGGGCCATACTCACTCAGTGACTGGGCGGCCAGTGACGGCGGGTTACAGGAGTCAGTGACTAGAAGTTTGTGAAGGTAGAGACTGGTGACATACACGCTAATTGACTGGTGGTCTGTGGATATAAGGGGTGATCTTTAAATGTTAAACAAATGTATTTGAATGTATATTTGTTTGTTTCAGAATTCTCTAATAGCTGCCTAATGAGGAGAATTTTAACATGCTTTAATTTCTCCCCTGTCCCCCACCAGTTATGTTTCTCCTTATTTTTCTGACATCAAACCTCTTGATTTTAAGGATACTTTTATAACAATTGCACAAGAACATCACCAAGTTACTTGGATGTAACTAGACATTTTACTGGTTTTAGTATTCATAGCTTTCTTGTATTTGGTCTTTCCTAATCTTGAAATCTTCTTTCTGATCCAATTTTCTTTCTTTTAAAAATCATTCCTTTTCTTCTCCTCTTTCTCCTCTTCCTCCCACTGCATCCCAAGGTTTCTCCCTCCCTCCTTCTCTTTATTTTTAAAGTACATTAGATGATATATTTTCTGTATCCTTACATGCCTAAAATACCTTATTTTTGCTTCCAAACATAGATTTTTTTTGACTGATTATAAAAATCGAGGGTCTCAATTCTTCTACCTCAGAACTCTATAAACACTACTCCATAGTCTTTTGTACAGAAGGAAAGATGAAGACTGATTTTGTTTCTTTTCTTTTCTTTTTTCTTGCTTTTTTTTGGTAATTGTCTTTCCTATAATTGTACAGTTTTTTTTTTGAATAACCATAGACCGAGTGGCTTATCACACAGCTCATCACACGGTTTCAACAGCGAATTTATGGGGGACACAAACATTCAGTCCATAACAGGGACATTTCTTAATACGATTTTTGTTTCTCAAAAATAAAAATGCAAAATTGGGTGAAAGATAAGCACCCTTTGTGACATGATCAACATTGAATGGTCAAGGTGAAAACAAGCCATAATTATCTTGTACAACTCTCTCACAAATGTGGGTAACAGTAGACTGAACTAGAAATATGCTATTACAGGGATCGGTAACATTCAAAGATGTGACTATGGCCTTTACCAAGAAGGAATGGGAGCAACTAGATCCTGCTCAGAGGAGCCTGTACAAGGATGTGATGCTGGAGAATTACAGCAACCTAGCCTCGATGGGTAAGGGCAATTTCTTCGTAAGTTGAAATGTACCTACTGTGATACCTTCTCTCCCAAGTCCTTGGTAAGTTTATCCTTGATTTTTATAGTCAGAGCATTTTCATCCCTTTTAGGTACTAGGCAGAATACTTGTGCCTCTGCCTGTAAGATGGAAGGTCTGCTCAGATGGGGTACGTGGGCATCTGCACTGCGAAATTTCAGAAGCCGTGTTCTTTCATCCTTTAAAACCACTGAAGCACAAATGTTAGTGCTTGATTTCTGGGATGTTTGTTGTTCTAACACTTGATTTCCACTGTTTCTCATAAGTAGGGTATCAAGCTCTCAAACCAGACATGATCTGCAAGTTGGAAAAAGGAGAAGGGCTGTGGTTGGGGAAGGGGAAAAGCCCCACACGAGGTGGTCTGAGTGAAACAGCAAGACCCAAGCAAATGGGAGCCAGCGGAAGTAAGTTCCTGGTTTCTTGGTGGTGACTTAGGAATTTTCAAAGAATAATTTATTCTTCAATGCCTCTTAAAGACTCTAGACCCTTCTTTCTTGACCAGGAAATAGCAGTAGAAAAATATCAAAATCTCCTACAGGAAGAGGAGTTCAAATTACAAAGATTCTCTAACCTTGGAGATTCTCATATTTCTTCCTTCTGTGAACCTGTCCACATGAGAGGTTCTCATATGAAGGCCACTATAGTCATAAACCCGTGTTACTTACGGGAGTTTGCGTATACCACTTGTATCAGTCAGTTTAGGCTAAGTTATCCCCATGAAGGAATGACCCCAAAATGTTAGTGGCCTACAAACAAGAAATGTTTGTTTCTTGCTTAAACTGCAGCCCTTTTCCACATTACCTTTTAGACCTACATTGAAAGAGCAGTCCCTATTTGGCAAATTATGGTCTCATTACAGAGGGAAAGAAGAGGGAGTGGAACTTGATGACTACATGCTGACTTCAAAGTCACTGATTGGGTGTGGTAGATATCTCCTACTGCTTACATTTTCTTGGTTGGTTGGTCAGAGATGGGATCATCTGGCCACTCCCAAATTCAGCTGGGTAGGAATGCATAATCCTTTCAAAGGGAAGATTCAAATGGCTATGCAGTGGGGCTGGGAGGTGTAATCTTTCCACAGGGAACAGTAATACAGTCTGCCATACCACTCAGGTTGTGATAAGAAAAAAGGTGAAAAACAGGGCTCTAACCTTGGGTACCAGACCATCAGATGCCCAACTGACCCTTCCATATAGCCATCCTTCCTCATCTGTGCTCTCTATTGCTCAGTTTTGAGAAAAAGCAGTGAACCCCCTTAGCTCTTCTCTTAGCTAATCCCATTCCTGCTTACCTCTCTAAAGCAGTGCTAGTAAAAATTATTCTCCCTTTTCCTAATGTCCTCAGTTTTTCTCCCTTCGTCCACCCACACCTTGAGACCCCATAGTATCAAATTCCTCCCCTTAGGTGCTCAGGCATTCTTAAATCTGTCCTCTTTCTAAATCTCTTGGCATGATGCTTCTGCCCCTCATTGCTTTCCATTTCTACCCTTTCACTCTGAGATGCTCTGGACCTGTAGTCTATACCACCCTCATTCTTTCCACTTTCTCCCTAACTCCTGCAGTCAAATCCCACAGAATTCATGCCTTTTAACTAACTTTCTGACTTTTCAGCCCTGCTTACCTTCCAGTGCAGATTGTAATAATTTTGATCAGCCTGAAATTCTTGCTCATCTAGCTTGAATTGTGCCACTTGAATCTGATTTTAACCTTTAAGTGTTTCTTTACCATTTATTTCACCAGATTCTCTTCCTTTTCACTTTGCTGAAGTATCCGTAAGATTTTGTCTTCTACTGTCTATTCTCTTTTTCTATTGTATTTCCCCTCAAAGGAATAATCTATTGTGCAAATACAAGCTATTTATTCTACACTGGTGATTTCCGAGATGAATTTATCTTATCCAGATAAATCTCTAATTCCTTTGTCTTCTGTTTTACCTGCTTATAGGACAGCTCATTATCAGAGTGTCAGAAATTGAAAGCTGTATCTTTCTTTGTAAATTAGAGCTTCCTTTCACCTTCCCTGTTGTTATCAGGGTCAGATTTTAGGCCTGTCTACCGTGGAGTTCCCATGAATCTTTGCTCTCTGCCTTCCCTCTTACTATCCTGATTCATCTGGACCTGGTTCATGGAACCAGCTCCTGGTTCATTTTTTCCCCCTCATTCTGACTGGTATCCCCCAAATCAGATTCATATCATTCCACACCTGAATTGCTCAAATTCTTAGGTAGATTTGTTAAATCCCCCCTTTTGTTTTTCAGAAAATAATTCATCTTAGATGTTGTCCCCAAAGATTAAAATATTCAGTTTTTATATGTCACTACAGTCCCCAAATTAGCAGAATGTTCACAATACCTTTTTAAGTTTCCTCTGACCCTGAATTTTCCAAACCTCCGTGAATATCTTGAGACCAGAGGGACCAGTCCTTCTAGGGACAAATGAAAAGACTTCATAGAATTTTTGATCCATCCATTAGTGGCTCCAGTTTTGGCTATCTTAAATTTTCTCGCTCATATTTGGTGTTATAACTGAAATATAATCCTGAGTCATTTAATACATACACCTTTGTCATTGCTACGATGACTATTCTTGTTTTAGGTTCTTGTATTGCACTTGGAGTTTCTTCAAGGAAGGGCTTTCTATTTCATCTGGTGGTTTGCTGGGTCTAGTGAGCTTCATATTTTAGTTTCTGAAGTTACAGTCATTTTAGCTTAAAATTTGTGTTTTAGTTACTGTCTCAGATTCAGGACAAACTTATAGCCTTAATCACGTGCTCTACCAGACCCAGCTCTCCCCTAGTATTACGCTATTATACCAATTCACTAGTTCCGATTCTCCTCCCCTCCCTCACGGTGAATTTCTCTCGTGGTGTTTTATGTCTTTCTCTGCTGTCCAGTCAGTTGGGACCAGCCCAAACCATCATTATAAGAGGTTCTTATAATGCTAAACCTCAAGGGGAAATGTTTGAGTTTTGATCCCTTTCCTCCCAGAAGGGGATCCTCCCTCCTCCCTAGCATCCTTGGGGGAGGCAGCCTTTGTCTCGCTACATAAAAATTTCTATTACATTCTTTCTCCCAGGATGCTTGTGTCACTTAAAATTTCCTAAATGAAAAAGCAGCTGGTAACTCCACTTCTTCCTAGTATAT